TAACTGTACAGTATCTGAACTTTCAGGGAAGGGAAATAGTCTAGCACAGGATTTTTTCTTCCTCTCTTGGATCATTAAACTGTTCCTGTTTATTCACCTAATGCAACATTTACAATTGAATTTTTAATTTCTCCCTCATTTCTGAAGCATTACGCCTATATCATTCATACCAAAGATATCCACAGTAATAATAAGCAGATAAAGAGTGTCTCCAAATTATAATTATTATTTACGTGTTTGATTAATTCTATCCAGTCAATGTACAGCCATACTGGCAAACACATAGCTGTCCCAAAATGAAAAATATATGGGAGAAGAAACACACACCAAAAATACATTTGTAGCTGGAAGCCAATAAAATGTTTCCTTTCCAAAGATACACTTTCACACACCTTCCTAACTAAACAATTTTACTTGTAAATAAAACCTTTACTTGGTTCCCAGTGACAAACCACAAAATAAAAGCAAGGTTCATTTGCCACTTGAAGAGCTGGAAAGAATAGCGTTAGCGTAAACAATTTAGCATTTTAAGGGACCCCCCTTCAAATGACACGCTGAATGTATTATCTGTTTCTGGTCTAACTAGCAGGTCTACCCAAGTATTTTAAAACATTTCTTCACCAAGCAGTTGTCTAAGTGAGCCATCTGCTGGTATATATTGTTCATTGCATTCTTATTTCACTTTCCTTTCAATACTGTAATTCTTTTTCAAAAACTGATCTGACACAGAATGTTTAATAACATATATAAACACATGCTTATCTGAAGATGGGTTTGTTCATTCATTTTTGTGGACCGATTTTTTTTGTTTGATGATACGTGCCTATGTATTTCGCTATGTTGTTTTCTATCATTTGTATGTTTGCGCTGTTTAACCACCCAGAATGTGCTTAGCACTTTAGGGCAGCATATAAGTAAGTAAGTAAGTAAGTAAGTAAGTAAGTAAGTAAGTAAGTAAGTAAGTAAGTAAGTAAGTAAGTAAGTAAGTAAGTAAGTAAGTAAGTAAGTAAGTAAGTAAGTAAGTAAGTAAATAAATATTGGTATCACATCCATAGACAGCAAGTGGATACACTGTTGGCAAAGTGAGAATGTCACAGCCATTATCAGTGTAATTAGCATCATCTCTAAGCCTTTTTCTTGTTTCATGACTAGGTTTTGACACTCACCTCCAGAACAACCATATATTAGTACTACATAGAGAATATAATGCCCAGCACTCCAAATTTTCCTTAAAAAATTTAAGAAGATCATACAGTTTGCTTATTTTGGATAAACCCAGAATGATGGGGATACAGAGCTAACACATAAAACAACACTTTTCGTATGACCAGCTGCCCTTCCAATTCACATTATAATATGATCAACATAATTGTAGCTTCTGATGAAACAATACTTCCACAAGTTTATTTAAGAAGACAGGTTTTGAGAAAGAGGGAAAAGGTCAGGAGTGTACTCTATTACAATTTTGAACCAGTCTGAAACATAGTATTACAGCTCCAAATTAAGGCTACAATCTTAGCCACACTAACCTAGGATGGACACTTACAGGACTGTTTTGCAAGTTAGCAGAGTTTCGTATCTAGTAAAGGTTGGATCTAGAGTTAGTCATTCTTAGAGTGGACTAGAATCAATGGGAATTAGCCCTAATTATATTGTCCCAATGATTTCAATGGATCTACTCTTAAAGATTATCACGTTTGGAGCAAATGTAATGAGACTTAAGTTCCACTTATTTTAATGGGACTGAAATGTTACTCAGTGTATATGCAACAAAATATATGTATCAGTGAGGGGGAGGGAAGGTTCCTTAACAGGACTGGAAATAAACTCCAATTGCATATATACAACCTACAAGATCTTTCTTCAAAAACCACATACTCTGTAAGACAGGGCAAGTCAATCTGATGTTGTGCGCTAACCCAATGTTTACCAGATTGCTTGGCTTGACAGAAAGGAAAGTTCTGTAATAGTATGGCAAAACGGTATCATGTTCTGACTGTGCACCTCTTTCCAATTTAGAGCACAATCCTGCACGTGCCTACTCAGAAGTAAGTAGCCAATTATTTCAATGGGGTTTGCTCTCAAGTAGGAGCAATTTAAGTTTCTGCCTCAGAACACAATTGTAACAAGCAGAAAAAGAGACTCTGCTTCTTCCTACCCACACACTTCATAAGAATGTTTCCTCAGATACTACACGGACAAAAATATATAAACAAAATGTTCTAATAAAACACCAAGTATAACAAAATCTTAATGCTCTCAACAGAGCCGTATCTCTCAGTAAACAAGGCAGCAAAGACAGTTAGGAAAGTACAGTAATTATTTTTAATAGCAGACTGCCACCTGGTGGTGAAACTGTTAGGTATTTTATGTCAAAATATTTTTAAGGTGGACTTGTATCTCTGAAACCATCGAAAAGACTGAAGTCATACAACACAGCACCAAAACACCATCAACATTTAAGTAAACTTTGGAACTGCTATCTGAATTAAGTTGGGCTAGAGGAAAGATCCTGTATTTCTAGTGGGGGTCAAGTATTATTATTTTTTTCCTTTGCATTACCCTTACAATTAAGAGATGGCCTATGTTTTATCATCAGAGCAGCAGTTTAATACTTTAAAAGGTAGAAATAAATGCCTTTGCTCATATATGTTTCAGTACATTTCATTCTGTAAAATAATACTTCCTGAAGGCAGACTGCTACCCTTCAAATAACATCTTGCTTGGCAGGGCACTTTGGACAGGAGCATAAAGCTTCAATCTATAATCACTGTGGATTAATACTGAAAACTTAATTCCACAGAAACATGCGAAAGTGGCTCCCAACCTTGCTCTTCTTGGACTGTAACTTGGGATTCACTGGAGTAGATTGAACAACTAACGTAGAGAGACTATGGGTATCAAGATATGCTCAGCTTTATTAGTTGCTTCAGTGACATGAAAATGGAATGACCATTTTGAAATAATTCACTTTTGCTCCCACCTGCCTTCAGATTTCATATCTGCTGGTTAATTTTGTATTAAGAATTTCCATTTCTGTCCAGAGACAGATAAATCAGCACAGGAAATCATTCTTGGAAGGGGAAGAAAATGCAGCAGCAGGACTGCAACTCCAATCAGCAGCCAGCATAAATGGGAAGGTTTCTATGGCATTTCACGTTTTCTTTGAAACCTGCATTTGAACCTGTAAGCAAGTGCAAACATGTTAATGAGTAATCTGGCCTTTGTCACCAGATTACTCATAAATAAACATGTTTAAACTCATCCATACGCTCAAACATAGGTTGCAGGGGGGGAAATGACATGTCATAGAAATCTCCTCCCTAAGAGGAACTGGAAGGCTGCACTTTGCCCACACCTGTTCTAGTGCCTCCTAGCCTTCAGTAACAATGCTTGTTTCAGCTGATGGAGAGTTACTGGCACTCTGGACTGTGCTAAATGTATCTTATATTCAGTCCCAGAAAGGTAGCAAGAAACAAGAATTAGCAAAATAAAACTGGCCATGTATTGTATCTTATCTGGTAGAATGCTATAGAATAAACATCACAAAGAAACCTTGGAACTCTGCCGGTAGCAACATTCTGCATATACTACGCATAACCTCAGTATGCATTATGTCTGCCCACATGTCTATGCAACAGCAACGTAACAGCTTTGGATCTAGGGAGCAAATCATTAGGACTAGATCACCATGTTGAAACTGGCCATTGCGCAAAGGCCCACTGAAAGAAATTCTCAAAATTTAATCTCAAGGCGCAGCAGCTGATGCAAGAGAGAACTTTGGATTCCAAAGCATTACTTGCTCCAGACATGCATATTTGTTCTTTACCCTGGGTCTCTAGAAGAGCCCCACCTTCACCGGTGTGAAGTGAAGCCAGAAAACGTGCAATCCAACTGGTGGACCTCTCAGACATGCTGGATTAGTTGTACTGCTGGAGTTTATTTGGGATTTTAAGGTATGTATACTGACTGCACCCACCCAAAAGTATCTGTCTAAGATGGTTTTTGAAATCACATAACCTTTTTAAAAAGTAAAAGCATACAGCAGACTGTATGCATCATGACAACTGCGAAAGAACAAGGAGCTACAGGTGTGCTGCAAGTCTTGAGTACTTTTCAGGACATCCCATCTTTTAGTCCTGTTTGTTCTCTTAGTCCCTGAACTAAGGGCAAGAGAAGTGGAAAAGAATTAAGTTTCTCAGGGCCAAAGGAGAAGCCAAATACAGCACAGCACACTTCAAAGAAGAAAATAGAAGTCCATGAGACACTTTGTGCTTCCTGATCGTACTGTTTCCTTCTGTGGAAAGTTTTGTTTTTAAAAACTGAGAATTGTAGAGGTGAATTAAAAACACAAAAACATAAAACACTGCCAGCAACCCATATCCACCTGAGGAAAGCTAAGAATGCAAGATATAGAGTCCAGAAATTCACCTGTTCTAAATCTATACACCCGGGTTCCATTTATACTGTTCCACTGTTCTAGAATCTGTCCAAGGGTTTGCAGCAAGGAAAGAGTAAAAAAAAAAAACTACTTGTATTTGGATCTTGCTCTTCCAGCTGCTAGAATCACACTCACACAGGCTAATACAAATCTGCCTGGCGTGAAAGGAAGGAAGAAAGAACTGCACGCTCTCTCTTTTGCCCTAAAAACCTTGGCTCCCCAAAAGGGCTTGGAAGCGCGTGGGTAGAGGGAAGAAAAGGATCTGGCAGGGACAGAGGAGATCAGCTTGGGTGGAAAGGATTCAAGTCAAAAGTTCCCTCTCTGCATCGTGTCCCTCTCTCCTCTCCCTTCCCCTGGAACACGGAGCAACCGCATCAGGCGCCTCCTACGTGGAAAACCTGAGCCGCTGGCAAAAGGCAGAGGGGAAGGCCGGCGGGCGAGGGGGCGGGCGGGGGGCTCTGTGTGTGGAGGGGAGAAGGTCTCTCTCTCCCCCCCCCCAACATACACACCCCAGCTCAGGCTCCCCTCCCCTCCTCACGGAAGGCGTGGCGCCAGGCCAGGGCTGGAAGGCAGACATCCAGCAAGGAGGTGGACGTTTTCACCGCAAGTTACGCACATCGTGAGCTCAAAGGCTGGTGGGGGCTCACCCGCGCTTCCCAATAAAGGAAGGCGCGGGCTGCCCCGGCTCTCATTCACGGCGAAGCCGCCGAGGTGCTCGCAATAGCAGGGAGTTTGCCACTCGCTCGCTCTAGTCCACTCGCACTAGCAGGACTTGGGGCAAGGTCGCTCCCTGCGTGCAGAGAATCAGCCGAGCCTCTCCGAGTTCCTTCCCGCCTGGGCTTGAGCACCAGCTTCGCGCCGCCTCGTCTCGAGGGGGGAAAAGCAACGAGCCCTGCCGAGGCGCCGCTGCCGCTCGCCCCCGCCGGCACCCCCTTCGTCTGCGCTTCCGAAAAGTTCGGCTCCCTCTCTGGCCCCGGTCTTTCTCGTTTTTTCCTCGTGACCTGGCGCGCTCGCTACAGCATGCAAGGGGCGGTGGCGCTGAGCCTGGCGCTGGGACTCTGCCTGGCCGCCTGGGGAAGCCCGGCGCCGGGGCTGCTGCAGGAAGAGGCTCTGGTCCTGCCCGTGCGGCTGGATCCCGGCGCCGGGCAAGGGCAGCGGCAGCAGGGCGAGGCGGGCGCGCGGCTCTACAGCCTGGACGCCTTTGGCCAGCGCCTCCGCTTGGAGCTGCAGCCCGACAGCAGCTTTTTGGCGCCGGAACTGACGCTGCAGTATGTGGGCAGCCAACCCCGGAGCGGAGAGGAGGAGGAGGAGGACGCCTCCGAACACCCCGTCGGCGCGGACCTGGCCAGCTGCTTCTACTCCGGCACCGTCAACGGGGAGGCGGGCTCCGCCGTCGCCCTTAGCCTCTGCGGAGGGCTCCGCGGGGCTTTCTACCTGAGCGGGGCAGAGTACCTCATCCAACCGGCCAACCTTTCCCGCCCCCGGGGAGAAGAGCAACCCCAACTTCACGTCTTGAGGCGGCGTTTGCGGAGCACTCTTCACAGCCAGGGCGGCGGAGCTAAGTGTGGGGTGACAGACGAGGGCGACCCTTCCTCCGCCGAAGGCGAGTGGCAGCGGCGGCAGCAGCAGCAATCAGAGCACGTGCAGCGCGCAGGTATTGGTCCCTCTCTCACGCAGAGCGCGCGCGCGCCCTTGATCCTCCCCTTGGCTCGGGAGGAAGGCAGCCTCCGCGCGAGTTCGGCTCCTGGAACGTGAGCGGGATGCTGCGTGGCACGCATGCGTGCCGGCTCGCACCCTCTTTCTCCAACCCGGCCGGCGTTGGTCCGAAGGCTCCCTTCCACTTGCTGAGATGGGGTCCCTCCGAAACAACCGCTGTCCGGGGGTGGGCGCGGAGACGGATAAGAAATGCATCGGCAATGCAAACTTGCCTTGTAGTGGCCGCGGGGCTGGGCCAGTTGCAGTATTCCGCCACCCTCTTGCCTTCTGCTTTCAGGGCAAAGCGAGGTGGGGTAAAATCCTGAAAAGCAACTCTTGTGCAGTCGAGAGCAACGCTCAAAGAGGTCGCCCTTGGCACTCTTTAGCTGAGACAGGCCAAGATGGTTATTTATTTATCTATCTATCTATTTATTTATTTATTTTATATCCCGTCTATCTGGTCATGCGACCACTCTAGGCGGCTTCCAAATACATGCATAAAAACAAATAAATATAACACAAAAATTATTACATTAAACGACAAATTCTACAAGATAGGGAAAAATAAAAAGAAAGAAAGAAAAAAATCAATTACTTTATTTATAAATAAAGTAATAAATTTTTATTTAAAATAAAATAATCGATAGATAAGCAAGCGCCGGAAGAATCTTTGTTTAGGAAGGAAACACACACACCCCTTGATTCCAGTCAGTGCTATTCCTGAGCAACTGTAGGTTGCAGTCCTGTGAGATGGGAGGAAATCCAATGGAATGCAGTCAGATTGACTTCCGGATAAACATAAAATGAGTTTGCCTTGCCCAGTGTACACTTAACCAGCCTGCAAGGAAATTCCTGCTCTGATATAATTGGTTTTTGTTTATAGTCCATTGTTTCAGTGTGACATTTTAGATTTCATCAGTTGTGTTCACTTACTCAAGAACAGTGGTTCTCAACCTTGGGTCCACAGTTGTTCTTGGACTAAAATTCCCGGAAGCTTTCACCACCAGCTGGGCTGCTCAGGATTTCTGGGAGTTGTGGTCCAAGAACATCTGGAGACCCAAGTTTGGGAACCACTGCTCTAGAAAGTAATGGAGTTGAGGGACTGCTGCAAAAGTAGTTACTCTCTTACCTTTCTATCTGTCTTTTTTATCTTCATTGAGTTAAATAGGCTAGGTGTGCTGCAGTATGAATGAAAAAGGCAGGCACTGAAGTCCTAAAGAAAGTCAAGATATGGTCTACTAAACTATTTTGGGCATATTTTCTGAGGAATGAGAATACTGTGATGTTTAGCTATTGTGGGTGGGAGGGAGACTACATACATGGAATGTAATAAGAATTGCATCCTGGAGCAAGTGGTCTGATTATGTGTACGTTTGCTTCGAAGTATACTATACTGAGTTACATATCCTGTACCCAAGAACTGAGGATGTTGTGGTGTTATGCAGGCTAAAAACACATGTGTATTTCAGTGAGATTTAGGTTGTAATCCTAAACACACTAGATAGTAAACTTAATTCAATTTCTTGAGTAAGCAGCACTGCACTACATGTGTTACGAATTTTATAAAATCTGTTTTCATTTGAAATAAGGTAGGGACTTGAGTCAAACTGTCAAGCTGCAGTCTTATGTATATTAGTTAGAACGGATGCTGAAGTGATTGGGACTGACTTTCAAGACTATTTAAAATTGGCTTATAACTCACAAATGAATAGATCTAAATCAGATGCCTTTGGAATGATCTTTAATCTGTAAGTAAGTCCTATTGTGGTGGGGTTAACTGCAACAAGAAGCTGCAAATAAGTAGGGTTTACTCATGTTCATAAAATGCAGCACCCTTTTGTACCCCCCAAGAGGAGGTAGTTCAGGTTTAATTTTTATCTGCCTCACTTGATGTTAATGGATGACTCAATACAAGCGTCACAGAATGGTCATCCATTTTCTGAAGTCTAAGAATCAGCTCTTAGATAGTTATGGGCCAAACTTTCCTACCTTTCTTAGTCTAGATCTCCCCCAAGTTGCTTTTAGTTCTGTGGGTAAGAAAGAGAGGAGTAGCATTTGTACCAATATGAAAAACACAGTACTGTTTGTGTGTCCAGTAATTGCATAGTCATTATGACTGGGAAATTTCCACTGATTTACACACACACACACACACACACACACACACACACACACACACACACACAGAGAGAGAGAGAGAGAGAGAGAGAGAGAGAGAGAGAGAGGAGGGAATTAACAGCGAATATGTTCACTGCACCCTTAGATATATGCTCATAGGAGGAAAAAAAACAGGCTTTTATTGGCACAAAAGTATCCTAAATGTGGCAATTGCTGTACAGTATACTCATTCATTGAAAGAGTATCTGAAGCCAGCAGCTTTGACACAGGTGTAGTGGAGGACTTGTGAATGAACGTCATTTAACATAACCCATGCAACCAAAGAGAGAGCAGAGGAAAGGCACTCAAAGTAACACAAGGGCACATTATTTCAAGCATAGAAAGTTATGTCATGAGGTCACAAGAAAGTGGGTCACAGAAGCAATCAACAGGTTGGCACAGACTTTTATTCCTGCACTCTGCTTTCCACGTGGAACCCAGCACAATCTTGGTCAAGTGCTTTTGCTATCCAGTGCCAGCATGACATAATCCATATGGTGTTTGTTTGTTTGTTTTGCTTGAGGATTGTAGTGGTTGGGTGAGAAGGACTACTTTCAAGCACATGTCCTTTGGATCTTGCCATTTTAATCCTAAATTTAGTTCTTCATAGAATGTTAACTCCTAGTTCCAAACATATACCAGGGTTGGTGTGTTTTTGTTGTTAATTAATTGTTGTTTTTAAGTACAACTTTTCATACAGAAATCAAATCACATGGCAAGAGCAAAGGAAATGGTGCTGCAGTTCATTTTAGAAGCATTCTAGAATATGCAACTTAAGGACTGTGGCCTTTGTGAACAGTTGGTTAAAGCTTTTTGGACTGAAGAAGTTCCAAAAATAATTTGGAGGAGGGAGCAGCACTGTTGATATAGTAATAATTCTAGAAGGTGCCTTTTTGCTTCTTACTGAAATGTTGGAAATGCTGATTTACAGAAGTTGAGCAGTAAATAAGTTTTCAAGCGGTTATTCATAGTTCATTTTTCCCTTTTTCTTTTGTTTTTATTTATTTATTTATTTGAATACAGGCAATAGAAGTGCACGGAGGAAAAGGTTTGTGTCAAGCCCTCGCTATGTGGAAACCTTACTTGTAGCAGACCAGTCTATGGCAGAGTTCCATGGCAGTGGACTCAAGCATTACCTCCTTACCCTCCTTTCTGTGGCTGCTAAGTTGTACAAGCATCCCAGTATCCAGAACTCCATTAGCTTGGTAGTAGTGAAAATCATGGTCATCTATGATGAGCAGAAAGGACCTGATGTGTCTTCAAACGCCGCCCTCACCTTGAGGAATTTCTGCAACTGGCAAAAGCAACACAATCCTCCTAGTGACCGGCATGCTGAGCACTATGACACTGCAATTCTGTTCACCAGGCAGGTAAAGGAAGCAAATGAATAAGTTTTGTTTTCTGGTCGATTCTAGCCAATGTATCCTGAATTTTTGCAACCCATGAACATAAGGACAATTTATTTGGTTCAGGCTGGGGGAGTGGAAGTAGGGACAGGCCCTCCTCATTAGAATTTTGGAGTTGGGTGATCTCCGGTTCCAAATTTAAAGCTACCAGATTTGTTTAAAAGTTACAAAAGTTTTCAGAGGGGTAACCATTGAAAAAGTGCATTGAAACACCATGCTACTTGTTATACTTTTTGTAGTTGCCCCCATGAGAAAACTCCTGGAGAAATTAGGCATGCATACTGCCAAGTAATTAGGCATGCATACTGCCAAGAGTTTGATTTCTGAGCATCTGTTTTCATTATAATTTTTTTAAAAAAATTGACTCATGGGTGTGAAGCAGCTAAATCCATTTTCAATCCATTCATAAAGACTTTCAGGTAGATCCTTGATGCCTCACAAGTGTGAACAATAGGTAAAGAAAACTGTCCTAGATGGGATAATTAACCGTTGGTTTTAAAGTGTCAATTGGAACTGAGTCCTTCTGAAGTGCAGTTTGTACTTTACACCAAGGTTGCAATCATTATTACAGCAGAACAATATTATGCTTTATAAAATACCTTGTGTATCTTCCAAAAGATAATTATCTGTATACCTGTTGAAATAACTGAGTTTTAGTGTGTTTTTTTTCCATAAGGAAGGGCATACTGCCAAAGCAAGGCTGTTCCTGCCAAAGTTGTGCTCCTGACCTAATTAATAATGAAACTACTCTTCTTTTCCTTATATAGGATCTCTGTGGTGCCAAGACATGTGATACTCTTGGGATGGCTGATGTGGGAACTGCTTGTGATCCAAACCGCAGTTGCTCGGTCATAGAAGATGATGGCTTGCAAGCTGCTTTTACAGCCGCTCATGAATTAGGTAATTGAGATTCAAGGGAAAGCTGTGGCAGGCTTATTTGTTTTAAAAACCTGAATTATACATATTGCTCTATATTTAAGTCACCAAATCTGTGTCAACCTCGCAGTTACAGTGGTCTAGGTCTTACTGATGTGTCTGGACTTGCCTGCCGTGTAATGATCTTTGGAAACTGGAATCAAACAAATGCACATTTCAGGACAAATGGTGACTGGTCACCCCAAGTGCTCAGTTCTGAGATTAACATAAAAACTCAGCCTTCAATGATATCCATAGTAATGAATCCCCAATAAGTGTTCTTAGGATTACAGTCTCATTCTGCAATCCTGTGATAAGGCTTGGAAAAGTTACTTTGTCAAAGGCCACCAGAAAACTCCAAGCCAGCATTCTGGGGGTTATGGGATTTGTAATGCAGAAGAAATACCAACTTCTTCATGCTCTGTCCTATGTATATTTTCTTGAAAGTATGTACTGTTTTAACTATTAATTTTATTCTGCATGGGGACAAATTCTATGTATAGGAATTGTACAGTGTGTTTTTTGGAGGGGGGATAGCTCAGATACCCAAATGAAGAAAGAAAGAATCTAATGCTTAAGATTTGCTTATGTGTTGAATGACAGCTGCTACCATGGAGTGCCTACAGTTCTAAGATAAAATTTGCATTTTTCTGTTTGAATAGCACTTTGTGTATGCAGAAGTAAAATACTGAAATATGACTGTATTGCTGCAGCAATGAAGTATCAAGATACATTTGTGAAAAATGTTTGGGAGCAGTGAATAGTTAACTAGATAAAAGCATATAATTTCAAAGAATCCTTAATGCAAAGAGCACACCTTATGATCTCTCTTCTCCCTTCTGTTTTTAAAATAGGTCATGTGTTTAATATGCCCCATGATGATGCAAAGCAATGTGTGGGCCTTAATGGCATAAACAGAGACTCTCACATGATGGCATCTATGCTCTCTAACTTGGATCGAAGCCAACCTTGGTCTCCGTGCAGTGCCTACATGATTACTACATTTTTGGATAACAGTCATGGTAAGTTGTGTTTTCACCTCAGTAATCTTAGAAATGAAAGATATGCTTACATGGAAGCATCATATGTGTCCAAAATGTACATATTAAATATACACATCACACCAGATTCTAATACAAGGTTGCTATGGAGCTGCCATTTGGATTTCTTCTGGACGTTTCAGTGACCCAGCCCCAAAGGCAGAGAAATCAGAATTGGCACCAGTTCCACCCCCCCCAAAAAAGGGGGGGATGAGAATTCCATAGAAGCACTTGCACAGTTGGCATGTATACTTGTCTGCCTGTATGGGTAATAGGAAACACTCGTGCACATTCTAGCACATTCCTGCTGGAAGATTCTGAAGGTATTTTCACCAAATGTTCTGTTTAGATTATAAATAGTAATGATAACCAGGTGGAATTCTCATATTCTGATATCTCTGAATGCTAAAGGGGCAGGGCTGACGTCTTCATGACCTGCCTGGAAAGTTCCTGAAAAAATCTGATCAGTGAAAATACTGCATGAAAGACCTTAAGGTCTCTTAAATTTAGACAGCAGCTTTCTTTAACTACCTGAAAGGGTATCAAATGCAGATTAATGTACCAGCTTAAAAAATAGATACTACATCCTGACATTTTTATGTGCTTTCTGATCTGCCCAGATACATAGCTGGGCTGTAGCTTAATGGCAGAGCACAGGTTTTGTAGACAAAAGGTTCAGCTTCTTACACAGCTGCAAAATACTTTTACTTGAAGCCCTGGAGAGATGCCAACAGTCAATATCATAGTGAATGAAGTGGATATCATATTTTTTTTGTTAAATATTTTCAGATCACTTGCACATATTTTGAGAGTAGCTTTTAGAGTTTGGCCACTGTTGAAGTAATTAAATATAAAAGATAAGCACTTGCTCAGAATTGTGCAGTTCAGAGCTCCATGGACTCTGGATGAGAGATTTCCCGTTGCCAGATCTGCATCTTACTGTATTCTTTGAAGGAAACCCATGCTAATTTTCTGATAACATTTATCTTCACTCTTTTTTTTCCAGGAGAGTGTTTGTTGGACAAGCCTCACAAGCCTATACAACTCCCTTCTGATCTGCCTGGAACATTGTACGATGCCAATAGGCAATGCCAGTTCACATTTGGAGATGATTCCAAGCATTGTCCTGATGTGTCCAGCACATGTACCACTTTGTGGTGTACTGGTACGTCAGGTGGATTGCTTGTGTGCCAAACCAAACATTTCCCTTGGGCTGATGGCACCACTTGTGGAGATGGAAAGTGGTGTATGAATGGCAAGTGTGTGAACAAGACAGACAAGAAGCATTACGATGTAAGTACCTCCTCATAACTGAATGTGTCCTTGTATTGTAGCAAAAGTAATATATAGGTGCAACAGTAGCGAAGAGGCACATTTTGGACTGCTCAATTTGAGGGTTTTTGGGGAAAAAACATTAATCTGTAAATTGTGATCCTATGTATATTCATTTCCTTGTATTGTAGCAAAAGTAATATATAGTAGCAAAGAGGCACGTTTTGGACTGCTTAATTTGAGGGTTTCTGGGGAAAAAACGTTAATCTAAATTGTGATCCTATGTATATTCATGTGGAACAAAATTCTATTACTTTCAAAGAGATGCTCTTTAAGGGTGCCTATGATTTGTTTTCATATGTAAAGTTTTGACTACAAGTATAAGGATCTGCTTGTAAGGCAGAGCTTGAAAACTTTTCCACATTTTGTTATCAGTCATGATGTATATAGATGAAACTATATAAATATGATTGTGGCCTAACAATGTTTCGAATGCTTTTTCGGAATGCTTTAACATGGATATTTGTTTCTGTATTTCCCTGTGTAGACACCTGTCCATGGGGGCTGGGGCTTATGGGGAGCCTGGGGAGAGTGTTCAAGGACATGTGGAGGAGGAGTACAGTACTCCCTGAGAGAGTGTGACAACCCAGTTCCCAAGAATGGAGGAAAATATTGTGAAGGCAAGCGCGTACAGTACAGGTCCTGTAATATTGAAGACTGTCCAGACAACGGTGGTAGGTTTTTACAGTTCAGTTTATTTCTTATGGAAGGAAACTTTCATTTTAAGAGAACAAGCTGAAAGATGGGTCTCTAAAGCCTAATAAGCTTACTTTCTGTGTGCAGGCAAAACCTTCAGGGAGGAACAGTGTGAAACTCACAATGATATTTCCAAGTCTTTTGGAACTGGGCCTGCAGTGGAATGGACACCCAAGTATGCTGGAGTCTCTCCAAAAGACAGATGCAAACTTGTCTGCCTTGCAAAAGGCACTGGCTATTTCTTCGTTCTTCATCCTAAGGTAGATCTGAATGTGGATGTGGGTTGCACATGTGGAAATCTGCTATTTATATTATCTGCTATTAAATTTTATGCTGAGGTTGGTGAAAGAGACTGCATAATATGAAAGCCAACACTTTGAGTAACTGTCTTCCCATAACGTCCCCCACAGTCTAATCTTTACGAGTGCAAAAAGATGTTTATACTCTTTTTGTATCTGCATGGCAAACAAGCAAGAGTGTGCAAGCTGATGATAGTCTGATCTCACAGTCCTCTTTAGAGACCTGCCAGAAATGGGTGCACTCTCAGCCATTTCTGGTCATCTATGGTTTGAAAGTATATTCTTTGCTTAAACAAAAAAGGGAGCATGCCTTATTTTAAAAGATAGGCACCCTCTGGAGAGGCAGTTCCTCCACATTTATAAGCAAGAAATGGGAGGACTTTGGGGGGTACATGTAAACTCTCTTGAAGCCACATGTGACCTGCAAGCCCACACTGGTCCTGTTCTCCAGTTATAGGTAGATCTGGAACCATTCTGGTCACTGTGTTCATAAAAAGCAGTACTTCTGCAATAATGTTTATTTTTATTTGCTTATATGCCAGACACAGGTTAGCCACATTGGTCAATGGACGCAGCAATTGAACACATATCTTGTTCATTTTATTTCAGTGGGACAATGGCTTTGCTTATATTTCTGCTGTTAAGCATAGTTTAACATTGCTTAACTGACTGCCTCACGCTCAGTGCTTGTAAATGTTCAGTGATTGTACCAAAAAGAAACATATATTTTTCTTCTTTTCTAAACATGACTTCCTTCTTTTCCTTAAAGGTGGTAGATGGAACCTTATGTAGCCCAGAGTCCACTTCAGTCTGCGTCCAGGGGCAGTGTGTAAAAGCTGGATGTGATCGCATCATAGGATCCAGTAAGAAGTTTGACAAATGTGGTGTCTGTGGAGGCAATGGATCAACCTGTAAAAAAGTGTCTGGGACGCTGTCTAGTTCTAGGTGTGTTTTCAAACAGTTATGGTTTGTTTTGCTTTGGTGACTAGCATCTTTTTGCTAGAATCGTAGAACAATCATTCTCCCTCTATTTAGGAAATACTTCTAGAATCAGCTACTTGAGTTTACATTTGTATGTAGGAGCCTACAGTTTTGACAGTATGGTGAGGGAAGATGGGAGGTTGTAGTCCAAAATATCTGGAGCCCTACGGATTGAAGAAAGCTGATATACTGGAACCTCCAGTTCTGTAACTTCAAAGAGCCAGGCTGTCAACGTTCTTATAGTTGCTATAATTCTTGAGTAAAGAAGGAAGCCGTGATGATTCACCTATTGTCCTTTTTTCTCTCCTTGTAGACCTGGATATCATGATGTCATTATGATCCCTGCTGGGGCAACGAACATAGAGGTTAAACAACGAAATCACAGGGGTGCGAGACAGGATGGTAGCTTCCTTGCTATTAAAGCTGCTGATGGCACTTATATTCTTAATGGTGACTATACGTTGTCAACACTGGAGCAAGACATTACCTATAAAGGCAGTGTTTTGAGGTACAGTGGCTCATCTGCCTCTCTGGAAAGAATTCGTAGCTTCACTCCACTGAAGGAGCCTTTGACAATACAGGTCCTTACAGTGGGTGACACGTTTCGACCTAAAATCAAATATACCTATTTTGTGAAGAAAACTGCGCAGTCAGGATCTGAGAAGCCCTCCAGTAAGAAGACGGAATCTTTCAATGCAATCAAGGAGACCATTTTATCTGAATGGATTATTGAAGAATGGGGAGAATGTTCTAAATCATGTGGTACTGGTTGGCAGAGGAGGTCTGTAGAATGTAGAGACCTTAATGGACAGCCTGCCACAGAATGTGCAAAAGAACTCAAGCCAAGCGATATCCGCCCATGTGCAGACACGCCATGCCCAAGGTGGCAGCTGGGAGACTGGTCTCCATGTTCTAAGACATGTGGGAAAGGTTTCAAGAAGAGATTGTTAAAATGCCTTTCCTTTGAGGGTGCCACGTTGTCACATGAAAGCTGTGACCTTTCAAAGAAACCTAAACATTTAATAGACTTTTGCCATGTTACAGATTGCAGCTAAACCACAGTGGGTTGGGAAAGCTAACCATATTGTTTTTTTTCCAGACCAAAGCACTGAAAATAAGGGTGAAGCAAGGGTCCCTCTGAGGTTCACGCCTGACTTTGCCCCCTCCATGCAGGGCTCCTCCTCCGCGCACCCACAGCAATAGTTTTCAGTCCCCTTGGTTCCAGTTGTGAAGGGGGGGTGGAGTCCTGCCCAGTGAGGTTGAAAATTAGAGGGAATGTTGGAGTAAAGGGTAACAGTTGTAATTAGTATGGAAAACATTAACAGTGGATTCACTGAGGGGGATAGTGCAAATAATGTTAGACAGCATTGAACGGTTTTGAAAAACACACAAAATAGCCTTTTTACTAGCAAAATGACAAACCAGTCACTAGCTATTTCATCTCCAGTGGATCAAGCCTTAAGGCATTACAATTTCCTCTTTTTTGTCTGTTACAAGTTAAACAAAACATAGGCAGTGGCCAAGGCAAGTTAAACAAACATTTTTATGTCTTAGTGAGGGTTGGGTTTTATGTTTTGTTTGTTTTCCCCCCTTCAACTTCTGGAGTTTGTATTGTGGTACTGATAAAAATCTCTTTCTTGATCAAAGTTGGAGAAAGAAAGACAGTTTTTCTCTAAGCTTAATTATTGGTCAGATCTTGCCTACCTCACAAAGACCACCAAAACCACAGTATTTGAAAAGAAGTTTCAACTTTATTGCTCATGGCTGCTATTGTTTTAGAGAATATGTTTTTAGTATACAGTAATATTTTCTATCTCAAAGCAAACGAGTATAGTTGTGGCTGTTTGTTTAATCTCCTGATGGATATAATGTGGAACTCGTAATGATTTGCATTATCATTAATTAATTAATTAATTGATTGATTAGTTGATTTAGTGAGATATCATTTTCGTGCAGATGTTAATACTCAGCCTGCAGAGTTAGAACAGTAACAATTCCAGAATTCTTACTGGCTCAGCCTGTGCTCCTTTGTGTGTGTTTGTGGTTCATACCTCTTCTCCTCCAAAGTACGCTAGTGAAACCCAGATCAGTTTTGGAATACATGCATAGTTTTTTGTTTGTTTGCTTGTGAAATGTGTTTTCTTCATGAAAATGGAACATGCTGCCATTTGAGTTATAGTAACAGTCACCATTTTGTTAAGATAACAGCTGTACCATGTGCTGGACATCAGTATTGTGCTTACATGTGATCTATTACAAACAGACATAATTCAATTATGGGTAAAAAAAATCTCTTAATATATACCACCTAACCATTTTACACTGCTAGTATCACTTGTAAAGCAGGGAAGATTAAGCTGAGGGATAGCAGGTCCATCCACAGCAATGTGCCAATACTATGGCTCTCCCTATGTATATAGTAAACTATATTACTATAGAGGCTACATACTTTATAAGTATTTGAATTATTTCCCTTCTGTGAAGGGCTATAGTTGGTAATTAATTCATATTATAAACCTATTTATTTTTATATTTCTTGTCTAATATGATTTCCTAAGTTATCACTTTTTTGGAAAAAAAGATGTATAACAAGGATAGAGTATTTATGCAATATAATATGATATTAGAGATAATAAACACTATGACTTTTGGAAATGGTGTGAGGGTTTTATTTCGTTGAAGTGAGCATTCATGCAATGAAACAATGGCTACTATGGGGTTTACCAAGGATCTAACTTACATCATAGTTTATTTTAGATCTTTCCACAATGCCAACATTCAGAAACATCACTGTGGGAATCAGCAGAGACACTTCGGCTTTCATTCTCTATTAGCATGAACCTAACCTGGGTTGTAATAGGGAATTGGAGATTCATAATCCCTATCATGATCCAGCTTTCATTCTCAGGAGTAATGATTAAAAATGGGGACAAACCGCCAAAATGGCAGTTCATCTTGGTTTGTCAAGGTTAACAAACCACAAATATCTCCAGGGTTGACTGACGAACCACGAATCCATCAGTTGTTTTTTTTTTGTAGAGAGCCCATGGCAGTCTTTAAAAAAGCAGAGCCTCGAACCCCCCACCCACTTCCCATTGTCCCCTTGTCCACCACCACAGCTGCCACCATCGTTGCAAAGATGACTGCAGAGGCAAGGGCAGTGCAGGTGGCAGTGGCCGCCAAGGTAAGGATATTAAGGGGATCAGTGCAGGGAGCTCAGCTGTGGGGGTGGGAGCTAGTCTAGGCTCACCCTTCCCTCTCTGCCTATGAGCCCACCGATCAGCTGTTTGGTGCCCAGCAGCCTAGTCTTCCCTCTCTGGCTATGGGGGAACAAATGAAAATGCAGTGATGCCTCGCTTGATGAGGATAATCCATTCCAGCAAAATCGCTGTAGAATGAAATCGTCAAGTGAAAGTAAAAAATCCATTGAAATGCATTGAAAACCAGTTCAATGTGTTCCAATGGGTGAAATAATTCAGCATCTAGCTGTTCCAGGCACCACCCACACCTAAAGGAATAGCTTTTGATGCTACTTAGATTCATTCAGCCAAAGGAAACTTATTGACCAAATACTATATTCCATTAATCATGTTTTCTATGGACAGCAGATCTATTTTTTCAGCAAAATCTCAGTTTTGATATTTCCATATGTCTTTCTCCTAATATCTCATGTACTGTGTATTGATGTTGGCAAAGAACAGGGGAAAAATGGAGGTGGAGTAGGACAAAACTAAAAAGGAGAACCTCATCAGGGGCTGGAAAATAGACAGTTTTTAAAAGTCCTCAGTCTGATTATAGGTTGTGGAGAAAACTAAAGGAAGATCTGTATGTGACTTTGCAAGGAATATGACTCAAGAATGAATAGATTTATACTTCAAATATGTGTATCACACACTTGAGCATAAAACATTTTAGTACACTGATGCAAAGGTAAGAGGAAGAAGTGGTCCTTTCTGAAGCCTTGTCTGAAACCATTTAAGGACTTTATACATCACAGCAAGCACCTTGAAGTGGGCTTAGTGACAAATAGGCATGGCAGTCAACACAACTCCTTATGTACAGTGGGGGTCTCTACTTAAGAACGTCCCTACTTAAGAACAATCCAACTTAAGAACAGCTCCATTTGCTAAATTTTGCTTCTACTTGAGAACAGAAATCCAAGATAAGAACAGGGAAAAAAACCTTTCCTGCTCTTTTTTTAACCTTAGGTCATTTTAGGTTAAAAAAAATTCCCCCCCTAGTGGTAGAGTACATATTAACCAGGTTTGCATTAGTTCCTATGGGAACTAATGCTTCAATGTACGAACGCACCTCTACATAACAACAACAACAACAACAAAACAGCCAGAACGGATTAATTGGTTTTCAGTCCATTCCTATGGGAAATTTCGCTTCAACTTAAGAACGTTTCAATTTAAGAACACCATTCCAAAACGGATTCAGTTCTTAAGTAGAGGTTCCACTGTAGTTTCTATGGACGGAAAAGAGCAGATACGGATTAAATGGTTTTCAATGCATTCCTATGGGAAATGCAGGTTCAACATAAGAGCTTTTCAACTTGAGAACCACCTTCCAATATGGATGAAGTTCTTAAGTAGAGACCCCACTGTACTCATGTTATACAACCCCTTCTTGATTATTTGGGCCTGTGCAATTTCCCACACCTTCACATTGCTGATACCAGGTGTGTGAAGGAAGATTTTTATTTTCCCCTTAGAGCATAAGGATGTACTTGAGGGGACTTTTATTAGAGCAGCAAAATACAAAGGAAACAATGACAATGCAGCAACTCTGAATACTTTTTCCCCCTGGCCTTCTAATGCAATTTTATTTATTCACAATTCAAATCAGCATAAGAGGTTGTGACAGGTAGGAGGGTCTCTGTAGTACTGTTCGGTCACCTCTCCTGCCAGAATGCAGCCAAGAAGACATACAATTGTTGCATGGTAGCCAAAAG